CGAGTCGAGCTCCCAATCCACCTGGTCATGCCGGGTCTAAATTGAAGTAAAAATATCTGCTGTCAAGTGTGATTCTAATTAATATTCTGCGTAGTGTGCAGTTATGCCTTTTCTTTTTATTTCCAGCCTTCTGCGTTATTTACTCCGCTGTTCTTGAAATTATAAGTCTGTGACATATGAAAACACAAATACAGAAAACATTATATGTAAATTGAAAATCAAACATATTTTGAATTTTCTTAAATAACATATCCTTGGCATACACAATAACAAATAAAAAGGTTTATTAGTGCAGCTAGGCCGTGTAGTGATCAAGTTGGTTGTTTGCTTATTGCAGTCCCAAAGTCTTCTTATGTATTGCAGACTTTCCAATTTTTCATCTGTTTTACAAAGGCTTACCAATCAAGTTGTGCTATAACAATAAACTTTACGTTATGTATAAGTGTGCTTTTAGGCTTAAAAAAATCCGAAAACAACAAAAAATATCGAAACGCTTTCGACATTCTTAGTAATATATCTTATAAAACGAAGATAATTTGCGTGGCTTTAGTACTACAAGTGTAGAGAAAATACAGTACGACTAGCTAATAAGATATTATCCACAATACTTAAGCATCATTTCGATTGGTTGAATATGGAGCAATTTATTTATATCTGTCATCTTCAAAATTAATTAATAAACCAATAATGACCAAATAAAGAAAACGACTTATTTATAGGTACAAGTGAGGAGAGAATAACCTGTAAGTGATTATACTAGAAGTAAATAAAATAAATGTGGTTAATGTTCTTACTGAAAAAATTACGAATGTAGTCTTTTTGAAATAGAACGAGAAAATTACGGTTCGAGAGAAATAGATTCGAGTTATCAGTGAAACATATGTGGTTATTATATTTTCCTTTCACATAGATCTCTATCATCTCTTTGCAATGTTTATTTTTCTAGCTTAGTAGCTTCACGAGAACAACGAGATATTAACCACATTCTTGTAACAACATTTTTAACGCCATGTTTAAGCTCCTGCATTTAAATAAAAGTATGCCTAAAACGAATCCGTTATACATTATTTTGGGTAACATACCTAGCTTTTTAGGAAGTCGATACTAAAACGTAGAAACAACTTTCTCTTTGAAAAATATTTCCATATGTTAAAAACTTCTTTCTGTAGATGTTTGTAACTATATTTGATTTGTTTTCGCAATGAAAACAGAATGGCTGCTTAATGAATTATTTCCATCTAAAATACTTTAAATATGAATTGTTTTCAGTAGCTGATCAGGTAGAATCATACATATGTTCTACGTGATGCAAATAAAAATATTCTTGTACATTGTTTGTTTGTTTTTAATTATGCACAAAGCTACACAAGGGCTATCTGTGCTCTGCCCACCACGGGTATCGAAACCCGGTTTCTAGCGTTGTAAGTCCGCAGACATACCGCTGTGTCACTAGGGGGCATTCTTGTACATATAAAAAATATTATTAAGATTTACATAATACGTTTTTGCTTAATTTCGCTGATGATAAGTTTTAAAACGTTCACACAAGTAATTGTATGTTCATGTTATGATTTATTTTATATACATAGTCCAGATTAAAAGCAGTTTAAGAATGCACAATAATAAAACTTTAGTATATGACTTTACTTACTGAAAAAATTCAAAAATCAGAAAAATATGATTGTTTTTCAGCCCTTCAAAAAATCCAGTTTGCTTAGCTAGCAGTGATAGCTAAAACCAGTCGGTCTTGTAATATGCTCTTCACCGAAGAAGCCAATTTGTGTTGCGTTTTAGGTATTGTATGACTCCAAGAGTTTCTCTTTACCCCTCATTTAATCAATTGAAATTCAAATTTCATAAAAGTTGGTCGAAATTGATTTTTTGTGATAAATTTTCGCTTACTGAGCTTAGTACTGTGAGGGTGATATTGATTTCCAAAACGTATAATACCTAAGTTGGGATATATGTGCGAGAATTATTTGTGAACTTTTTTGTTGGCAACTGTCCAAGGATCTAAAAATTCAAAACGCAACCCTTCTTATGATTTTTTAAAACCAAGTTTTAAGTTCAAAAACAATTATGTGGATAAAAAAATATATATTTGGCGTTTCATAAGGCTGTTCAGGGAACATGTCCAAACATAAGTGGTAAAACATATGGGGGTACCTTATTTGCTACGTCACCTGTAGACATTCTATTCAAAACTGGATCAGCGACTTTACAAGATAATTATACACAAGGCTCTATTCTACATTCAAAGGAGATTTGCTACCGGATCAAAATTGAGGAGGCATATGCCCCCAGTGCCTCACGTTCCGCCGCCTATGTGACCAAAAATTGGGGAGAAAAGAAACCAGTTGTTCCTGGGGTATTGAAAAGCCTATCGTGTCGCTATATAATTGCGAATGTGTTATCGTTACAAGTGTGAAACTTATTTAGAGTTGTAACGGTGACTTTACTGTAAAGTTCGTGTACGGATAGAGAGTTAAAACAACTTACTCTACACGTGACAAGAATTCAGGATGTACTTTGCATGGGTAACTTCTAAATTGCTCGCACGAACTGTGTTTTGCCTCCACACGGAAATGCCAGGAAATAACTGAAAACCGGCATAAATAGCAGGTAAAAAAAAGCTCCAAGTTGCAAAGTTGTAGCTCTCTGTAGCTTAATCAGTCATTTTCAAGAGACTTGGCAATTAAAGAGACCTCTCCACCTAACAGTGAAAATCAGAAACGGATCTAGGATTTTGGAAAGGGAGTGCGGTCGCCTGGATGGGCGCCATATAATTTCAGCATACATCACTTATACTGATACAACCAGACGACATATCAAACTTAAATATAATATTATAAATTATTGGCCTGTAGCTAGGAGAGACAGGAAATAAAATATTTTACTGAAATTACTTATTATTAAAAGGGGCGCAATTTAGACCGTCAGGACACAAAATTATGAAAGGGGGAACGCACTAGCCGCACCCCCCCCCCGAATCCGTTAGTGGTGAAAATTATATAGGAAATATCTTATCAAATAATGTGGTTAAGATAAACTGGATTTGTACCTGTTATAAAGAACACACTTCTAGCGCTACTTTTCAGTTATCTATAACAGGAGCTAGGATTGAGATATTTTGTACGCATTTATCTTTAACGTTTATAGAAAAATATAATTTATTATGACAGAAACTTACCACATTAATATCTGCCAGGTCTGGCATGACCTGGTGGTTAGGACGCTCGACTCGCAATCTGTGGGTCGCGGTTACGAATTCCTGTCGCCGAACATACTCGCCTTTTCAGCCACGAGAGTGTTATAATGTGACGATGAATCCTACTATTCGTTGGTAAAAGAGTATCCCGCAAGGTGGCAGTGGGTGGTGTTCACTAGCTTTCTTCTCTCTAGTCTATTACTGCTAAGTCATTAACGGCTAGCACAGTTAGCTCTCGAGTAGCTTTTCGCGAAATTCAAAACAAAACAAACCAAACCAAACCAATTAATATCTGCCTATACAAAGAAGTTCATTGAGCACCTGACCCTTCGAGATCTTATGACCAAAACCATAACCACGATCATATGGTTCTGCATATACATAGTAGAATAATCATCGATGAGGCCCATTACGTTGGGTAACAATCAGAACATGTGCACATTACGTGTGGGTAACAATCAGATCATAAAAGCAGGGTATTTTAACAATTCTGACAGTACAGGAACTGCCAAAAATATTGTAAAACGGGGATAATCTAATGGATAAAGAAGGTTTTGTGGGTATTAAGTATATTATGAAAAACTTTTAAATTCAAAATGTAGGGCTATCAAAGAATGGTAACGCTTAACTTATAATCCTACTTTAAATAGCACAAACAAAAGTTATCCAGAAACACCGATAAAAAGATGACAAACACACTCCATCATAACTCTGATTTCTAAAGATCTACTACCAACTGTGTTAGAAAACTAAAAAATAAGGCGATGTTCTAAAAAAACTCTCGATCCAGGCTGATTGAAACAGTCTGGGTTAACCGGGAGAATGAAAAACTATTGAGAATAGCATTGAAATGGGTACTCAAGAATATACTCCCGCAACGAAAAAGAAATCTTAGACTAATACATCAAACCGGAGAATTCTTTAACAGTCGTGAGTCACATTCTATCCAACAGATAGGAATCAGTTTGTTTTCACATAGATATAATGAGATATTCTTGATTCAAAAAAATTACTTACTTGAGTTGTTTTAAATATTATCCAATGTTTAATTTTTGTTTCAAAAGTACAGTAATATATCACAGAGCATCCGTTTTATTCTCAAAACACCATTTTGTAATAAAATCTTTAGTAATTTAGCATTGTCAGAATTTATATAATTCTGTAGACTTGAGTTTCTGAAGTTTCTCAAAACTTTTTCTGGACAGCATGCTCCAATACAAACAAAATGTCAACCTCGGTGTCTTTATGCTTGTACATATAACATATGGTCCTTATTTCTGAGCAAAACAAACATGTTAATTAACAGTATATTTTAAATCAGATTAAATTTCAACCTAATTTTTTAAATGTCCAACGCAAAGAATGTAGGATTGTACATCTAAGCACTCCTTTTTTATGCTGTATGGAATGGTTTTATCTAATAGTT